GAATGTCGGGGGGGCCCTTGAGATCCATTTGCCGCCCTCTCGCTGGGGCTGAGTCGCCATGCCGGTGCTTGGAGCCACTCCACCGGCAGGCGCAGGAGCTGGGAGCGGGGGGCGTGGGGCAGGATGCTCAAACCGGGGTGCTGGAGAGCCCACCGAGGCGCACCCCCTGCCCCTGGCGTGGGTGGCCCCGCAGGGATGCAGCAGCGGTACCCAGGACAGAGAAGGGATGCTCCTGCTGTGCCAAAGCTCTCGCTGTTGAAATTCCCAGGGATCTTCTGTGTGTTTTGGGGGATGCTTTAGGGTCCCACTGGGAGCGGGGTGGAGCGGGACCCCACCGTCCCAGGGGATGGGACCTGGGTGGCTCCAGCTGCCTTCCCGCAGGGACGGGGGAAGACAGCCTGCCTGGCACTGCCGAGTGGTGGGCAGGGGACCCAGGGGGACTGGGGGACCTTCAGGGTGACCCCACTGGCACCCCACCTGCCCACCTTGTTCCCATTTCCCAGCGGTTTCATGCCCAGCAGCTGTATCCCATTGCCCTTCCTGCTCTCCCCACTGCCTCCCGGTTGCAGAAGGCGCGATGACAAGACTCAAATGAATGGCCCCGGCGTCTCTCTTTGTCTCTCTGCCTCCTGCCTAATTAATTGAGATCCACCTTAATAGGATCAAACTAAATACCAAAGAGCATCCAACCACACAGCAGCTGGCAGAAAAACAACCGCCCGCCCGGCACACACACACCGAAAGACAGCCTGCCGGACAAAAGAGCCATTAATACGGCAGCAATTAGTGCTTCCGGAGCTAATAACTTCATCACTGCAATCTTCCCACGGCTGCGCCCCCCCGGTGCTGGGGAGGGATTCGGGGGGACCCTTGCTGGAGCAGTTTCGCCCATAGGCAGGGGTTTGTATCACGTGCAATAAATCTCATCGCAAGCACAAGGCTGGGGGCAAAGTTAGTTCCCGCGTATTTTGGCCCCAGGGGAGGCGGAGGGGGGGGATGTTGTGGGGCCGAATTCCCCCGGGTTGGCTCAGGGCTCCTGGGATGTTTCACTGGCTGCGATTTCCCACTTCCCACAGCATTTCGTGCTGCCCCTCGGGGGTCTGACACTGGTGGGGATGGGGGACATGAGGCTGCCACCATCCTCATCTGCTGGTGGACAGCGGGGAGGAGGGCTGCCCATCCACATGTCCCCAGGCCAGGGGAGACAGCAAGCCCCAGGCCACAGCCCAGACCGCTGCTACAGGGGTTATTAGTGGCTGGTATGGGGGTTGCTGGGGGCTGGTATGGGGTTTTACTGGGGGCTGGTATGGAGATTGCTGGGGGCTGGTCCATGGGGTATTGGGACCCGGTATGAGGGTTACCAGGAATGGGTATGGAGGTTATTGGGGGCTGGTCCAGCAGGTTGCTGGGCTTCTCCAGCCTCACAGAGCAGCTGTGGGTCCAGAGGTTTGGGTCTCATTGGGCTGGTTTTGGTGGAAGAAGGGGAGTTTAAAGACGAGCTTTGCCATCAGAGCCCACAGCTGCACAGGTGGTCAGGGGTGTCCCTCACCCAATTCATCCCTTGTCCAGCTCTCAGCTCCCCGCTGTGGCTGCTCCCCTATGAAAATCCCCCTATCCTACACCAAACAGCCTTGAGCATGTCCCTTCCTCCAGAAACGAGGAATTCAGCCACGGAGAGGACAGTCCCTTATCTAGGCTTCAGCAGCGTGCCGAGGAGCGGGATGCTC